TATACTAAAAATCGGGTCATAATGTCTCAGTAAGGAAATCAAATGCTAAGACTTGATAATTATTGGGATTCTCCTCTTTTATACTCTAAGAAAGGGTTTTGTGAATTGTATGTATATTGTTTGATATAAAAATGGCCATCACCTCTGAAGAGCTGTGGAACATGCATTTGTTCCCACCAGGAAGAATATTTGCAGTACCATAAGATTAGTTTTCCCCCAGAGGATGCACTAAATCAAATTAGTTAAATATATATTGGCATTCTGGATAAAATTTGGCAGAGAATGTCCATTTGGGCTTTTTCTACATTGTCCAAATGTAATGCAAAATTTAGAAATAGTTATTGTAGTATATACACATGCATGGACACTGATCACCATTTTAAGTCCTTCACAATTTTCCTCCCCTTTTAGAAGAGTTAAATAAAATGCTTCCACACTTGCAATAAAAAATGTTTATTTTATTTGAGTTTTAATGTAAGAATTCTTCAAATGACTACCATGGGCAAAATATTTTTGAATGCCCTCGTAAAAGTATTCCTCTGCAATGTGAATTTACATTTTTGAACATGTATGCTATTTTTAAGTTGAAAACTAGCATTAGAACAAATATCCAAATAAGTAACTGATTTTCCTTCTCTGCCATTGCATTAATTATAACTTCCCTTTTAAATACCATGAAGTAAAGGCTATAATGCCATAAGTGTAAATCACAAATATTTCCTTTAAAAATTAAATGTTATAAAAAAAATTAAATGTTATAGCTATATACCATATTCTATTATGTGTACCCTTATTTTAGGAATGAGTATGGAATGAGATGATGTTGCTTTGAAACCCATAGTATGAAATAACAACCAATTATTTATAACAATTCTGTCTTTTAATCATAATTTATTAACAACTTGAAAATACTTTCTATTTACATTTTAGCAAACTGGTCTCTCTTATCAAAGGTGAGAAAAACAGGTGTTATTTGTGTTCCTGAATAATGCTAGCTACCATTCCTGTGGCTGGGCTGTAGACAGCCATACACTGGCAACTCCACAAAAATAGAAAAGCATTTGTGTTTCTTATTTTGATTTATTTTCTAGGTTACCAGTGCTGTTATTTTCCTTTTCTCTCAGATATTTGAGAGCAGAAATGAAAGGCCAAGGATGAAGATCCAGCTACTGTAACTGTCTCCACTATAATTAAATTCTGTTATCCCACAATTTGTTTCTCATTCCCTCCCAAAAATACCTAAGAAATGTTTACAAATTAGGCAAGTAAAATAAGTACACAATGGAACACAATAGAGAGGCCAACACATATATGGACAACTAATTTTTGATGAAAGTACAAGGTAATTCAGTAGAGAAAGGAAAATTTTTCAACAAATGATGCTGGGACAATTAGATACCTAATTTCAATCTATATTTTGTACCACATACAAAAACAGGTCAGATCTAAATGTGAAATCTCAGAGTATAAAACTTCTAAAAAAGCATAGAAGAATATCTTCATGATCTTGGGCTAGGCAAAGATTTCTTGGAGATGACACCAAAAACGTGGTTCATAAAAGAAACAAAGATGATAAATTGGACTGAATCAAAATTACAAACTTCTGTTCTCTGAAAAACTATGAAAGGCACTGTTAAGAGGATAAAACGAAAATCCATGGATTGGGAGAAAATACTTGCAGAACTTATATCTGCTAAGGACTTGTATCCACAGTATATAACAAATTCTCAAAACTCAATAGTAAGACCAGAACCCAATAGGAAAATGGGCAAAATATGAATAGACAGTTCACCAAAGAAGATATGTGGATGGTAAATCACTACAAAAAAAAAAGATGTTTAACATCCTTAGTCATTAGGGAAATGCAAAGTAAAACCACAATGAGATACTACTGCATACCTATCAAAATGGCTAAATTTAAAAAGAATGACCATACCAAGTGTTGGTGCTCCTAGTAGGAATGCAAAATTGTACAACTACTTTGGAAAACAGTTAATTCTTAAAAAGTTAAACATACACATAGCATGTGACTCATCAGTTTATTTATATAACATTCCAGAAAACGCAAACTAGTCTATAGAAACAGAGAGCAGATCAGTAGTTGCCTAGGCAGGCACAAGGAGAGGCTTTTGGGGATGATAAAAAACTTTCATTATCTTGACTGTGGGTGATGACACAGGTATAAAGATTTATTAAAATATCACAGTGTGTACTTTATGTACAGTTGTATTATTGTACTTTAATAAAATTGTTTTTAAAAAGAATTAACTTGTGTACTCAGATAAAACCTGTCTAAATGAATAACAACAACAAAAAAAGAAAAACATAAGTCCACAAATAAATGAAATTGCAATGCTTTGCTTCTTAAATATCTACAACAAAGATAATGCTATTAGCACTTATTGCATATTACGTATACGTGTTTTTGTGAAAGGGGTGGTAGTCGGGATTGTGTATATGTTCATAACAGAGAAAGTATAAACGGATGTCAAAGAGCCATGTTCAGCCTAAATATAACAATAGATTCTGTGTTAAGCATCATCTCATGTAGAAGTATGAACATTTGACCCCAAAAAAGAATATCATAAAATAATGAAACAGAGAACATATCACTATGCAAGTAATTTAAAGATGGCCTTATGAAGAAAAATAAGCATATCATATGCTAGAACTAATACTTACAAAAATATTCACAGTAGAAAATATATGATATAATGCATAAATTAAGTGCATTATGTAAAGAAAATACTTATTTTCTTTTAGGAAACTGCAATAATAAAATTAAGTTAACTAATAGATCAAGAAAAGCCTCAAAAATGAAAATACGTTACAAGATACCTAAGGTAGTATATATGCATCAAAAGTAGAGCACTGTAGTTAGAAGTCACCTATATAGTCTTTGGCTTGGAAAAAAGGAAGAACAAAAAAATCAAAATAGTTCATTAATAGCTCTGTATGAGTTTTTTTTTTTTTTACAAGTCTTTCTCTTTTTATTCTCCTTGTTTCATTCCAACTTTTTTGTTTCAGTGTGATTAAGTACTAATCCTTGAAAAGCATTGTTTAGATGACAATTAAATTGAAATTAGGTAATTTAAAATGAAAGCTGTAGTTAAGATGCATTTGTCCAATGTTATAAGTCAGAACAGATGTATTTTCTAAAGGAGTCACAGTTGTCTTAAATCAAGGCCAAAATTATTTTACCTGTAGGATTTCACCACCAATTAATTTCTTTCTTAATTCAGTGGAAAAGAAGCAAAGGGTATAAATAGGCAATTCTCAAATGGACAATAAAAATATGAAAAGACATTCAATCTTACTGCTAGCCTAAGAAATACAAATACATAATGATAAGAAATTAATTTGGGGATGTTCATTAAAGATGTGAATAGTGATTACCTCTCAGTTTGTTTTTAGTTACTTTTCTTGTTTGGATTTCAATATATTATCCAACCTTTGTTCAATGCATATCATTTTCACAAAATATAATGTTATTAAAAAACAGCCACTACCTCATTAGTTGTTTGCAGAAAAATTAAGGCCAACGGATCAGAAAACAGAATTCAGAAACAGAACCAAGCAGTTTAGTTAATATGGTAAATGTCGTATTTCAAGTAAGTGTGAGACAGAGAGATTATCAAATAAACAGTACAAAAAAATTAGCTAGCTAATAAAAATATATTTTAAAAAATATCTGAATCCCTAACTCATTGCTTACTTCAAAATACTAATTCCTGATAGTACAAAATTTAACATGTAAATGAAACCACTATAGTACTATCAAAATATAAGAGCATTCATTTCAAAAAGGATATCTATTATTTCAAATGAAAATAAGAAGTTACAGAACAATATTTATGGCATAACCCCACTGATTTAAATCATTTTTCCATAGTATACGTTTTGATTAAAATTATGAAATGAAAGAATATACACTCAGTTAAGTTTTATTCATCATTATATTACCATCCTCTACCACATGTGGCTGGCGTATGGCAGGCACAAAAACATATTAGTTGAATGATTAAATAAATGAACTCATGCATTATTGGTGGAACTGTAAATCATGATAACTTTTCTGGGGAGAAGTTTGGCAATATGTGTCAAAGAATAAAATGAAAACACAATTTTTTCCAGCACTCCCATTTCTAGGAATTCATTTTATGACTAATTTTCACAAATCCATATAGTAGGTATCCAGGGCTAATTTTTTTTTATAACAGGAAAAAAAAGTGTATGCTCATGGAGAGATGGTGTGGAAAGGAGCTGCTCTACAACAGGAATCTGGTTAAATAAGTTAAGTCAAATATTTCCATGGAATATGCACCTATTTTAAATTAAGATGTTGATCATTTACCATGCAAATATAGCCACAACTGATAAGTTAAATGAGCAGATTACAAAATATAATATGTTTTACATTGAGAACAGTTTATATAAATAAGCAGGTGTGTAGATGTACAAAGAAATTTCTGGAAGGAAATGCATCAAAATCCTAACAGTGGTTATCATTTGGTTGTTAAGATTATGTATTTTTACCATCATTGGAATTTTCTATATTTTTTCCTTACAATGCTTATATACCTTGAAACTCAGAAATAAACAATGAAAGTAAATTTATTTACAAAATAGAAAAGTGTTCCCTAACTTTTTAAAAAAAATACGACTAAATGACAAAGCATAAAATCTATAATAAAAAGGTAACGCAAAGATTAATCTAACTTTAATATTTCTCCTCATTTGAAGTGATAATTCATCATGTTTTATATTTTAATTTACTACTTGTATTCCATGAGCAGGTTTAGACACTGAATGTGATTAAGTAGGTTATTTTCTACATTAGTATATCAAATCACCTCTATGGGTTTTTTTGCTTCCACAGAAATATCAAGGTATCTTCCAGCTAAGTCTTTAAAAGACTGTAATATATCCTGTGAATTTTTATACAAATACAGATAGGTAATTCTTGTCATTCATAAAAATGGGCTAAATATGTTTCTTACCTTTAATGAAAAGTAAACACTGGTCTTTTGGGTTGTACCAAGGGAGGTGTTCTGTAGCAGAAATGAATCCTGTAAATAAAAATAACAGATACCTGTTTTAAAACTTCACTTTACAAAAGTTTATTCACATATTACTGGATTTGTAAATCATATTTCAGTGTGGCTGGAATATTAGAAGGAAATTGGTGGCAGATGACATTGTAAAGTATACCCTGACCGAGGATGCACTTTTCGTCAGCACAAATTCCCCCCCCATCCTGCTGTTCATGGAATTGAAAACTGCTGCACAAAAGTATGGAGCAAACCGTCTGCTTTTAAATAATACTACCTAACGTTTGAATGCCCTTGTATTTCATCTACAAGATTGTTGCAAGCATTGAGAACAGCTAATGGCAAGTCAGCAGCAAGGTCGGGGTATATTATATGCCAGTTTAAAAAGAGAAATATAGTAAAAATGGTGTAACTGACTCACGGCAACATGGGTTCACAACCCTGTAGATGGATATAAACCAGGCTTGCCAAACACCACAGATAGTACTTATTAAAACTGATACGTGGACGCATTATGCCTGCTTTCTAGCCCCTTCCCCCTTTGCCGATAAACGACTCCCCTTTTTCCCCCAGTGTAAAAATACACTCCCAAGGATATTTAGATAAAGAGATTTAAAAAACAAATCATCCATAATCACACTACCCAATGATGCCATTTGGAGCATTTTCATCCAATTTTTTAAAAACAGATTTTTGTCAAGAGGCTCCTGACAAACCAAACGGGAATTCAGGATGAGATGATGGGAGAAAGATACCCCTCTTCCCTTGTTAGGAACCATGGCTAGTATTTTTACCTCATATCTAAGCTTGTTTTTGAGTTATATAACTATAAAGATAGAATTTTGAGGGGAAATAAACGTCTTCCAAGGGTGTGTGCCTCAGCTACCAAGGAGCATCTGGGAAGGTGGGCGGAGCCTGGAGGGCGGCGGGTGCGTTTGGTATTTCATTAGGCTTAGAGCTTGTCAATCAAGCTTGCCCAGCAAATGAGGCGCGAGCTAAGGGCACACTGGGAACTAAATTAACGGCGGTTCTGACTGCAAGGGGTGGGGGCTTGCGATCTAAACCGTGAAGAGATCTTGGGGTCTTACACTGCGCCATTAGGCTGCGGCACGCCTCGGTCCGCCGCGGCTACAGTGAGAGGCCTTGCCACCGCCGCTCTCGCCCAGGCCTCTATTGCGGCTTCCACCTCTACGCGGTCACGGCAGCCCAGCCCAGCCCAGCCCCGCCCTACGCTACTGCTACCTTCGCCGCTGCTGCAACCTCCTCAGCCCGGGCCTCCGCCGCTACCCAAGCATCCGTGAGTCATTTTCTGCCCATCTCCCGAGCGCGCGGTCTCAGTGGTAGTCACCACATTAAGAGGTTTGCAGGGTTGCAAAATGGCAGAAGCGGATCTTAACATGGTCTCGGAACCTGCCGCCCAAGGGGTTGCTGAAGAGAAGATGGCTAGCTCGTCTAGTGATTCTGGGGAAGACTCTGACAGCAGTAGCTCTAGCAGCAGCACTAGTTGCAGCAGCAGCAGCAGTAGCCGCAGCCGCTTATATAGAAAGAAGAGGGTATCTGGGCCTTCGCGAAGAGCACGGCGGGCTCCGTTGGGTAAAAGTTTCGTGGATCGGCTGCCTCAAGCAGTTAGAAATCGTGTGCAGGCGCTTAGAAATATTCAAGATGAATGTGACAAGGTAGACATCCTGTTTTTAAAGGCAATTCACGATCTCGAAAGAAAATATGCCGAACTCAATAAGCCTCTGTACGATCGGCGATTTCAAATAATCAATGCAGAATATGAACCTGCAGAAGAAGAATATGAATGGAATTCAGAGGATGAGGTGTTCAGTAGTGATGAGGAGGTGCAGGAAGACAGTCCTAGTGAAATGCCTGCCTTAGAGGGTGAGGGAGAAGACGATGACCCTAAAGAAAAACCTGAGGTAAAGGCTGAAGAAAACGAGGTTCGAAAAGAAACTCCTGAGGCAAAGGCTGAAGAAAACGCAGAGTCTAAAGCTTTTCTGGGGGTAAAGCCTGAAATGAAAGAAGAGCCTAAAGTAGTCCCCCAGGCAAAGGCAGAAGATAAAGAACAGCCTAAAGCAGCAGAGGCTAAGGCAAAGGCTGCTGTAATAGAGGCTCCTAAAAGAATTCCTGAGGTCAGGCCTAAAGAAAGAGCGAATCTTAAAAGAGCTCGGAAGGGAAAGCCTAAAAAAGAAGATCCTAAAGGCATTCCTGACTACTGGCTGACTGTTTTAAAGAATGTTGACAAGCTCGGGCCCATGATTCAGAAGTATGATGCCCCCATTTTGAAGTTCTTGTCAGATATTAGCCTAAAGTTCTCAAAACCTGGTCAGCCTATAAGCTACACGTTTGAATTTTATTTTCTACCCAATCCATACTTCAGAAATGAGATGCTGACGAAGACATATATAATAAAGTCAAAACCAGATCACAATGATCCCTTCTTCTCTTGGGGATGGGAAATCCAAGATTGCAAAGGCTGTAAGATAGATTGGAGAAGAGGAAAGGATGTTACTCTGACAACCACCCAGAGTCGCACAACTGCTACTGGAGAAATTGAGATTCAGCCAAGAGTGGTTCCTAATGCATCATTCTTCAATTTCTTTAGCCCTCCTGAGATTCCTAAGATTGGAAAGCTGGAACCACGAGAAGATGCTATCCTGGATGAGGACTTTGAAATTGGTCAAATTTTACATGATAACGTCATCCTGAAATCAATCTATTACTATACAGGAGAAGTCAAAGGTACCTATGATGATGGTAAAGATTATGGAAACAGGAAATATCGAAAATAAAAAAGAGGCTGCCTGAAGGAATTTTCAAGCATCTCAAAACTTCAAGCAGGAGTGAAGCAGGTTTATATAGCCTCAGACGGGATGGGGGGGGCTGCTCTATAACCTCAACACTAGCATTCCTTAGTCTTGTGTTTTCATATTTTCTTGGTAGTCTAAAAAATTGTCTTACAGTGTCTAAATAGCCTGTTGTAGTGTAATATTCTTCAAAATATGTAAATGCTGTCAGTTATCTAAAGCATGCTCGTTTGATGCTACAGAGTTTTGATTTTTGTGAAGTCCTTTGTCATGTTCCTATTAGAATGTAGCTGTGAAAACTGGCATAATTGTCAATTGAGACAAATGTTTGCTTGAAAAAAAGAGTTCCTGAAATGCCAATGCAAGTGGTTTTTCTTTTCTAGCCCAGAAAACTAAACGTTTAAATCTGCTTGCACTAACTGTGCCTTCATTACTTTGCTATAGAAATACAGTACTTACATTAACTAGAACAGCTAAACAGTGAAATTTGATTGCTTGAAAAAAGATTAGCATAAATTTAAGAATGTCCATCAAGACCATATACGATATGACTGAGCTTATTTATGTGACATAGTGGTCTATAAATTAAGAATAATGGAGTTATCGTTTACCACTGAAGTGTTACTATGACAGTATTTTTTAAAAGTTTCCTCATCTTATACTGTGTAATTGTGAACTAAAGTTACTAACCACATTTTCTTTGTAATATGTTCTATTTTGTCTTTCACTGAGATGATCACTTTTTATCACTTGATATTCTTTTCATGTTGTTCTATTGCATCCTAAAATAAATGTCCAATAAAGTGTATCATGCTATAAAAATCTAACATTTTTCCTAATTATAAAAAATGTGGGTCTTCTAGAAAAAGTAGAAAACACTGAGGAAAAGGGAAATTTTAAAAAAAGAATACTTAACTATTATTAACATTCTGATATGTTTCCCAGATCTTAGTTCTTTGGAGGATACACATTCAAGTGATTGGAGAGAAATGGAACAGGGGAGCAAGGCTAAGGGAGAGGAGAAGGGGAGGAGAGAGAGGGAGGGAAAAGGAGAAGGAAGAGGGAGAAGAGGAGGGTGAGAAGGAGGGTGGAAGGAGAGTGGGTGGGAGGGAGCAGGGAAGGGAAAGGAGAATAGGGAAGGAAGGGAAAGGGAGAAGGGTGGGGAGTGGAAGGGATGGGAGGGAGTGGGGACGGGGCAGAAGGGGGTAGAGGGAAGGAGGGCCTCACCCAGAAAGGACATCTATATAAGCTGTTGCTTTCACTTCCAAGAGTAGGATGGGTAAATGACCTAGGAAGAGTAAGTGACCGAGACCCACCCTCCACCTGATTTGGGAGGAGATCACACTCCTAGATGTGGCATTTTTTTTTAATAGGTGGCAACAACTTTCACTTCAGCACCATGCAGCTGGTTATAGGGTAATGAGATCCTGAGATTTTGGGGTTGAAATTGGTGTGAAGAGGAGGCCCCTTAAAACTCAGCTTACCAGAGAGTTTTGCGCAGGGCACAAAGGCACAAGCACAACAAATAATAAAGTAGTATTTTATTTCACATTTGCCGTTTCCCCATCCACATATATTTTCCTTCAAAACCTGAAGGAAAGAGCTGTGGCAGGAGGATTTGGGGATTTCTGGGTCTCTAGGCATAAAATTACCTAATAATCTTTCCAAATCCCATCATATAGTTTAATATCTTGCTTTTATCCCTGTTTAACAATAGCCCAGCCCCATATCTATAAATGTAAAAATATTACAATCCATGACACTATTTAACCAATCATGTATGTTTAGATATTTAAGTTGTTAGGATTTATACAAAATCAGGAAGCAAATTATGCTTTTAGCAACACCACTGCAATTTTTAGAGTGCCTTTGTTTTATTTCTGAGATATTTGCATCCATCAAGAAAGGGTATGGGAGCAGATTTACTTATATACCAGGGCCAAAGTGAAGACTATAATAAATATGGTGTACCTGGATCACTGCTGCAGAGGTTCCCAAATTGGACATATACTGTGCTTGCCAGACAACACAGCAGAGCCCTTAAAACTTCTACATGGAATGCAAAACCCTTATCGCGTCTTAGAACACTTACTGAAGTATTTAGCCCCTTCCCACTCTGTATTTTCCAATATTAAAGGAATGCATCTCAGAATATTTGCAAAAAAGAAGCAGAAACGCAGAATATAAAAATCATTCAGAAGCACGCTACAGGAAGATATCCTGTTGGTAGATTGGTGTATTTCCTCCCAGTCTGTCTCTTGATTAGATTTTATCACAACTTCTTGGATCAAATCTAAAGGTTAATTCAAGCTGGGTGGGTGTAAAGGGAAGTGGAAAGGCAGCTTATTGGTATTTTTACCTTTTTTGTTTAGGGCACTGGTGGGAGGGTAGGGGAAAGGGAGGGGCAGGGTAGGTGCCAAAGATTTTTCCATCAGTAAGGCTAGAATTCCGGAAATGCAAGCTCTCTGTGGTGGGTGATTCTACCACACAGAAAGTGGCTAGTAAAAGTGGCTAGAGCAGAGAAACCTTTGGGCTTGCACCTTCGCTGGGCTGCAGGTTTGTCTATCATACTTACCCAGCCAATGACTAATGCCAGAAGGAGGAGCTGACTGGGCTTGAAACTCATGAGCAGGGGGCAGAGGCAGAAGAGCTTTTATTCAGTCTTCGACTTCTTTTTGGTGCGCTGTTTTCCTTTTGCTGTGATTCAAGGCTGAGGCAAGCTACCTCCTTTCCTGCTCCCAACCGGACCAAGGAGGACTCCTCCTCCCCTGCCCCTCCCCTCCTTCTCCTCCTGACTAAGCTGCAGTAGGGACTGCCGAAGAGGTAATGGAAGAAACTCTCTATCCAAGTGGACAAAGTGACAGTACAGATAGTCAAATAATGCAAATTACCCATTATGTCTGAATCTAGCGAAACTGGTGCTCCTGCCGTCAAAAAACTTCAAGGACCATGTGATAAGATAGAAGCCAAATTTAAAAAGGAATTGCAGGCCCTTGAAAAAAAAGTATAAACTCACTTGATGAGGTAGGTAGGTGTTTGTACCCACCAGCACATGTATTAATTAGGACAG